AGAGTGGAATCACCAACTTGTGTGTTTGCCGTTTGCCTCCATTAGTTAAACTTGACTGTAAAACCAGTAGTTTTCAGTTGTTGGGGTGATGTTTAGATCAGGTAGTTAAATTAGACTTCATCATTCTGTGTTTTCTACACGTCCCGAGTGAAATCTGTAGATAAATGGTATGGGTTTGAGAAGAGTTACTGCTCAAAAAGACATGACATAGAAGTTTTGTGACAAGATAAGTATGGAAACATGATTTCTGCCAGTTAAATTCAAACTGAGGCTCTTTTTTAAAAGTATTGGATATCGACTGTCATAAAATGTCATAAAGCCATTGTGTAACTACAGAGACACAGTCCAGGGAATACTTGATTTTGGCATACAGGAGTTAGAACTCTATTTTAGTGTTTTTCAATTAAATCCTTAGCAGAACTACTTGGTCTAGGTATGTGCTGTTGTAGGGTCCTGTTACATGTATCAAAACTGGAGAAAAGTTTAAGGCATGTGATTGTTCGAGTCAGTTGTTCAGTTGGCAGTGGAACGCAGGTGAACCTTGTGCTTTCTAGTGTCGAGCCCTGTGCTTACCTTAACAAAACTGCAGCAAAATACCTTAGATTAAGAAAGTGTTTGCTGTTCTCAATTTAGTCATCTGTATGGCTCTTTGAACTTGTGCATGTGTTTCTTAAAGAGACGTTGGCAAAATCATCTGCAAGTTGGATTCCTTTTGCCTGGTTAAGTGTTTGCTTGATACACTTGGTCTGTGTCTGGGATTATTATGTTCAACTTTGTCTTCAGAAACTACGTGTATTTTCTATCCTCACCTATGTTATTGTGAAGGATTATTCTGTTTAATTTCTCAGCTGTGTGAATAATACAGTGTTAGTGGCTGAATTACAGTGTTTGAGTTTAGTCACTTGTTGGTCTGGCTTTCTGTCTCTGTGTAACTTCTTGAGCTTCCTTATTCCTTTCCGTTTATCCTCATGACTCCCCAAGGAGAAAAGCAGTCCATCACTGTCACTGAGCCAAGGCTGTTTCAGTTCTTATGATAACATTACATCTTCAGGAACACCTTTGAGCTGGACCAGCTTTGGACCTGATTGGACCATCAGGTTTCTTTCCCAGAATGGTGGTAGCATGGTGGAACAGCTCATCCCAAGTTCAAGCAGGAGAAGGGATGTGTCAGATAACCACTTAGGTGCAATGAAGCTTTAGTTCAGATAATGACAGTGGTCCTTACAATACTGTCAGCTGAAGATAGCTGTGTACCCACCACACCCTGCTTCTCCTGTGGGTGGAATAAGAGCTGGCTAAACCAGCTTATTCCCTTTTGAAGATCCCTTTGTTCACAATTTTGAAGTTAAGGTTGAGGAAGGGTACGATGTAGGCATTTGCCTTTAATCTGCTACAGTTTTGATTAAATACATGGGGTCGCATTCTTGCACATGCATTCCTTGGTTTGTCTGTAGGCCTACAAAGTCTTTTTGTGAGGAAAAAATGACTAATAGAGCCTAAAAAATCACCCTTTTGTGTTTGCTTGGTTTTATCTTGTAGACTTGTGTAAAAAGTACATGCTTTCATTTTATATTTAGGGAAAATCTAAGATACGGGATTACAGGGTAAATGAGAAATCTACATGTTGTTTTACTGTAATACTGGATTTTTAAACTCCTCCTTTCAATCCTTACAATTTTTAGAGGCATAGCAGACACTTTACTACGTGTCCTAAATCCTTAGCAAGTGATTGCTTACCCGCAGCCTTAGTGTGTTGTCAGCTACTTGGAGGATGGCTTATTCCTGAAAGAGTATCCTGAGATCCAGTATATACTAGGAAATTAACTTGCAGCCCTCATCTATGGTGTTATTTTCTGGATCTGTAACAGTTTGGGTCAGCTTTCCATGTTGCAGTAAGTAAAAAGTTAAAGGAGGAGGGAAAGGTGGTCCAAAATACCTTTGGTAGTAACTTAAACCACTTTTAGTCTGTGTGGTAGAAAATACTGCCTGGAGTGATTCCTTATACACACTGCTATACTTTCGAAAGAAGTCTCTGTTTTGCTGTATGTTGCATTTTCCTTCTACTTCTTTGGCTATTTATTTGTTCCAAATAGTGCTCTTGAAGTTGTCATCATGTGTGATTCTTACAGGGACTGATGCCTCTATCTTCCTGTCAAGCTTTTTGCTCATCCTCTGTGATCCCCGTATGGTTTTGTGTCATTAGAATCCCCACATTGACTGGGGTTTTCAACTCACTTTTCCTGTGCTTGACCTCCTTTCCTAATTTTCAGTCTGCTGCTCCCCACTAAGGGCTCTCTCCTAACTTGCTTCTTAAACATTAACTACTAGCAAGTCCTTTTGCTCTTTGCTAAGCTGTGTTGTACACCTGCACTGAGTATTTGACTTGCTCTGAAGAACCGTGGACTGAGCCATTTTGTAATAGTTGCTACAACTGGTTGCTATAATTGGGGAAGTTTATGGGTATAATCTCAGTGCATGAAGTAAGTAAAATGGCATCATATGGAGGATCATTCCTCTAACCCCCTCAGCTTTCTTTAGTTACAACCAGGAATAGTAGATTTTCACAATTTCTGGGTCTTTGTTTTTATTATACAAGTTAGCTTCTTTTACCTTTGTATTTGTAGTTCCCACATGCACACGGAGAGCATCTTTTTGAGTAATAAATACTACAAACAACAACATTCTGTGAGGGCTACATAATCTTGGTGGTGATGGCATCTCTTTCTGCATAAACTTTTGGGAAGCATATTGCCACAGATGAGTGGAAAGCTTCACGTGTAATAACCTGTTGAAGCTTCAAGTTATAGAAAGCCAAGTGGTTTTGGTCATTTGAAATTCAAAGCAAGCATATTTCTTCACTGCTAGAGACCTTTCCAGTGCTTTTTCTGGGAAGAATAACTTCTGGAATTCCAAAACCAGCAAAATCCTGTTAAAATGTCTTTAAAATATCTACACATTCAACATCCTTTTTTCATTTGCTCTCATGTTTTCAATGTTTCTACATGTGTATGGGGTTTTTCCCCCTGGCTTGTGAATGCTACATATAGTCTGACACCAAATTTTATCCTTATATGCTAATTCAAAAGTATAGTGGTGTATTTTCTGTCTGGTCTTGCAGTTTATGGTGGTCTTCACATACATTAAAAAACTTACTGCAGAAATGCATGTGTATTTTTCCTGTTCATATGGCATGTGTGAAACCACCATTCATTTTGGCACGTTTGGCTTTTTCCTTAGCAGAATGTCTATTCTGGTCCATTTAAGTGTACAAAACTGAGAATGTCCATAAACCAGAAATAATCTGCCACTTGTAACTGATGTTTCTTTAGAATACAATCATGCAGTCATGCTATTAAGTTGCAGGGCCATAACCCTGTGAAACAATCAGTTACCTAGACAGGTATTACAGTGTATGTTTGAACAGGATATCTAGGGATAGGGTGGGATTTTATTCCTGGAAAGGTTTAAAAATAACCTTAGGTTAAAGTTATTTGAGGGTTTGTTTGGATAGCCTTGTCTGAGTGCTTCTGGTTCTATCCATTGAGAATTGAATCTTGGATGTGGTTTTTCTGACTCTTCTTGGATCTACAGGTCAGTCTGTCATTTGGGTAATGTTAATTTGGGAAGTTTAGGTGGTGGATACAGATTAATCGAATAGAATTGACTGGAGGAATAGATTGAAGTTAGATATAACTGGAAATCTGCAGAATGTATGTCTGGAAGCCTACCACGTAAACTCATGCAGTGCTGCTGTTGAAGCCCCTAACTTTGTGTACAGTATATAGGTGTACTTTGGACCTTTTAACTGTTTTTGTCCCAGCATGTAAGCTACAACTGCAGTTACAGTCCTTCAGGATGTTCTCCCTATTGCGTGTGGGAAACTTCAACGATGTTGTAAGCAATCTCTTCCCAGTAGAAAGAAGCTTGAAGCTCTCAGTACAGGGACTTAACAAACCATCCCACCAGCAAGTACTCTCAAAACATGTAAGATGTTACAGGAAATGTGAGTTAGTACAGTTGGAGACTATGCAGAGTGTCAAGAAGTCTTCACTTGCTGCGTGCTTAAGGGTGGCTTTAAGTGTCATGCCTTAGACCTTCATTTTTGTATTTAATTAAAGGTTTAGACAGAGTGTGAGTTCTTAAACATAATTATAGTGATGCTAGGACACACAGAGCTTCCAGTGTAGCAGATAGTTCTGAATTAGGCTAAAACTCATGTCATTTGGGAAGGAGGGTTGCATTTCTCTCTCAGTCATCCAGTTACAATTTGAGCACGGCTACTGGTCAGTAGATCTTAGAGTTGTCTACTCTGTTGTCAGGTTTGAGGACTCTGTGAGCCAGTTCCAACTCCTGAAACAAGCTCATAGTGCAAGTGTTGACATCTTCAATGTAAGGTATTGCTTTAAGAAAGACTTCAAAAGTTAGCTGCTTGAAGTTTGTCAGGAAACTGCATAAACTGCCTCTTAACAAGGAAGTGCTGTGGAGTGATGATGGGTATTCACTCCAGTTGTTTTTCTGATGGAACATTCATTCACTACCAAGTTTCTTAAATGATAACTGAAATTTCCTGAAATTTGAAGTCTTCTTGTTCTCTTACTCTCACTATTCTTTTTAGCTTTCTGTCTTCCTATTTTGTGATGTAGACTGGTGCCTTAGTTTCTTGTATGCTTTTTCTCTGCAGAATTACTTGGTGATGTACTGAAAGATCAGCCGCAGGAAGCAGATGGGATTGACTCAGTAATTGTCGTGGATAATGTTCCCCAGGTTGGACCAGACCGACTTGAGAAACTGAAGAATGTCATCCACAAAATATTTTCCAAGTTTGGTAAAATTATCAATGAATTTTATCCAGAAGCAGATGGGAAGACAAAAGGGTAAGTCATGGTAACTCTCCTACTGGAAATAGCATTGAAACACTGCTCTGACTTACCCTTGATTGTTAGTGTCAATAATTTATGGCCAATTTGTATGGTGACCTTATAGTCCTGCTTATCGCTTCCTTCTACCTTTTGTTTGTACAATCCTGACATCTAGTCTCATTGAGAAACAGAAGTTCCAGAGGGAGCTGAGAAGCTTAATAGCTCATTAAGCTACAGTGTGTGTGGAGATTAATTATGGAAACAGTTTAGCTGGGTTTGGAAGACGAATTTCTGTGCAGTACTAAATTATATTTTTTTGTTAATTTTAGCCATGGCTAATAATAGGGTTTAGCTAAAAACTTAGCAGCAGTGGATGTACTGTTTATTGCTAAATGGACTGTCAGTATTCTGTCCCTGGTTGCCAGTGCTTATGCTTACATTAGTGACTCCAAGTTCCTTAAGCTCCGTGAGCCCTTACCAGGACCTTTTGCCAACTTCTGATCCCTGTTCCTGGTTAATTGCAGCATCTGAAATTGGGAAGAAAGCTAACTAGAAGTGATCTAGCCAAAAGGGAGAGGGCAAAGGAAAGAAAGTTTTAGGGAGAGAAACCAGGCAAAAATTGATCTCATCAGTACAAGGTTTTAATGAGTCTTGGTCCTCTGGTTGGAGTACAGTATATTCCTGAGTTTGGGAGGGATTCTAGAAGGCATAAGAAAGTGGGTTTTCTGGAGCAGATGTCCACTTGGTTCTGTAAGTTCAGCTAGAGGAGCATGAGAATATTACAGTGAGAAGGAAGCTGAATTATATTCAATGTACATGGAAGACAAGAGTGGTATTTTGAGATGCCTATGACAGCAAGATTTACAGTTCCTAAACATGATCTGTCATTCACACCTCACTTGCCTGTTCCCAGCTCACATTGTTGATCTGTGTTGCACTGAACTTGTTGCATTGAACTTGCACTTGGTTTAATTCCAGTCAAGCCCATACAACCTGAAAGTATGTATGTGCTTGTAGCCAAAGTGGAAATTAATTGCTCTTGAACCCAAACTGGTTAGGGAAAAGACAAAATAATTTTGTAGATGCGCTCTGTACTGAGTTTTTGGTTCATCCCCATTGTTTCTTTTCTATCTTAATTAATGTCTTTTTTTCATACGAGCCTGTTAGGTAGTCAGTAATGACTTCCTACTGTTGCCTTCGTTCATTGCAGATATATCTTTCTGGAGTACATGTCTCCATCTCATGCAGTGGATGCTGTGAAGAATGCAGATGGATACAAACTGGATAAACAACACACTTTCAGAGTCAACCTTTTCACAGACTTCGATAAGTGAGTGCAGCTATCGTGGGTATCTGTAGATTCGGGGATTCTAACCAGGAGTGCCTGCATGGAGTGTAACCAATCAAATTGCTCTTTCAGGTACATGACAATCAGTGATGAATGGGAAATCCCTGAGAAACAGCCATTTAAAGATCTGGTAAGGATTTTTTTTTTTGAGAAGTGGAAAGAATATTCAGCACAATATGAAATGATGACTTCATCACTGGAGTGTTCATATGAAAATAGAAATGATGCATCAGTAGTGTTGTTATAAGTAACAATATACTGTGGTCGTGTGCTCCTGTTCCTTTGTTCTCGCTGTCATGAAGTGACAAGGAAGAACTTAGTGATTCTGTTTAGCAGTTCCACATAGGGTAAAACATAAGAGGAAACAATGATTTTTTGCACAAGTTGCTTAAAAATAGTATTTTGAAAGCATCTTAAGTATTTAAATGTTGGAGGCAGACCTCTGTGTTTGTTACCACTACCACTAGCTTTGGGAAGAGTCCCCTGGAAGAAGGGATAGTTTAAAAACAAACACCAGAAAAACCCTTAAGTTATTTTAGGCAAGAACTGTTAAACATCATCTAACCACCTTGAAGCTCCACCATTTCATGGTCTGTTCTCTTAACCTCCAGTAATCAGTAGTTTGAATTATATGATTGCACTTTAGAAACTTGTTTTCAAGGTGAGACTCTGAAGTTGCACACTGTGTCAGACAAAATTCTACCTGCCAAGTAGATATTAATTTGGGGAACTTGTCATCTTAGCCTTTGACTCACTAATAATCTTTTTGCTTCTGTTTGTTTTAGGGCAATCTCCGATACTGGTTGGAAGATCCTGATTGTAGGGATCAATACAGTGTGATCTTTGAGTCAGGAGACCGGACCTCCATTTTTTGGAATGATATCAAGGAACCTGTGCAAATTGAGGACAGAGCAGTGAGTGTCCTGGAAGTGCTGTACATTGCAGATACACTGTCAGTCTCATTCATTTTATGACATTTCAAAGATATTTTTCCCCATTGCTGAAATCCTTTTTTCTTCCTTTTGAAGAGGAGTGGTGAAATTTACATCCTTTAGAATCAGACTTAGCTGCTTAGGTAAAACAAATGTAGAGTGAACTTGTTTGTGATGGTGGTTGTTTTTTGTTAACTGGTCCATGATGCCTGTTAGTTTCCTTTATCTCTGTATTGTGGGTGATTCAGAAAGACCTGAAAATGCAAAGTCAGAGTTTGAGGATTATTATTCATTAGAGCTGAGTATGTGCTTATGTATGCTGCTTCTCATCATGTTTTTGCTGACCACAGAGCTGCTAAAGAGGAATAGCTGGTTTGGTAGTAGCATAGAAAAGAGAAAGTTAGTGTGCCTGGCTGCTCCAGACAGTGACCCAGAAGCATTTTCTGTAATAACTATTACGTGTTACAGTACAAAGAAGTTGGCTCTGGGATGATGAGTAATTTTGCTCATCACCATGGTCACTGGCCATGGTCTGTGCTGCTGAAACCTCTCATCTTAGCTGAAGGTCAAGTGTATTATTAAGCAACTGGAAATACTGACCTTACTTCCGAGAAGAGTACGTTCTTCCCAGAGCTGAAAGGCAACAAGCAAACCGAAGCCTGTTTAGGTGGCTTTAATTGTCACGATACAAAGGTTGTCACTCTCCCTGCAAAATGTTTTTGGTGATCAGTAAGTTAAAAAGGTCTCAACTGACACTTTTTCAACCTGAAGAATAAGTACCGTGAATTATGTGCATGAAATGAAACTCCACAACTAGTCCAAGGTGTCACTGAAGGGGAAGATATTCAGTTAGTAATCAGATTTGCAAAGTGTGAAGCTACAAGCCACACATCAATTCTTTCCTCTTTAGGAATCCAGCATGAAATTAAACCTTTGTGTACACTTTCTTTTTAAATCCAGAGGTGGACAGAAACCTACGTACGTTGGTCCCCAAAGGGCACCTACTTAGCTACCTTCCACCAGAGAGGTATCGCGCTTTGGGGCGGAGAGAAGTTCAAGCAGATTCAAAGGTTTAGTCACCAGGGAGTACAGCTCATTGACTTCTCACCCTGTGAAAGGTATGGAGTATGACAGTGGTTTGGGCTAAGGGATCAAAAGCATGAAGTACACATGTTGTGGCTGCTGTGCTTTCAAATCTCATGTGGTTGGGGTTTTCCGTTCTCCTTTGTCTTTAGAAGTACAGCTTTCCATGCGTATAAATCCTTCTGGGAATGAGTGAAACTCTGCCTGACTCTTCACTTCAGGAAAGATACTTAACATAATCTGGAATAATTGGTCTACAAAACCGAGCTGACAAGTTTCCTCAGAGATATTATTATCCCAAGGGAGAAGGCCGTATTTTCCCTCTTTAGATGAGATGTCTGTAATGTTAGATTTCTGGTTCTCTGAAAAGATTCAGTTCAGTAGCATCCTCCAAATCTGTGGTACTGACATGAATTCCTTTAATGTTAAAGAGCTCTTTAGAAAGGCTAAAGTAACTTCAGGACTGAGATTGACCTGTTTTGCTAGCTATCAAGTAACATTTGGAAGCCATTAGATTTTATGTCTTAATGTATTAGGGAGTATTTATCTTTCAGTAGAGAAGTCCAACATATCTATGGTTCAGGTTGGCTAAGGTCAATGGATTTATATTTGCTTGGAAACCAATCATGTCCCTGTGGCAAAGCTATATAGTAGGTAACAGTATTTAGTGAGTTCCTCTCTTGTAACATCAATATGGGAAGACTTGCACATAAATTTAGAGTCTTCTCAGCCAGAGGGATGCCAGGGAAATACTGTATCTTGGAAGCACTCTTCCCCTTTATCACACTGTTCTTACTTTTCCCTCCTCTGTAAAAAAATCCCATTAAAGAAGCTGCTGTTTGAAAGTGCATTGTATTTAAATATTACTTGGATGAAAGCTTGCTTGTACTGGCATATTAGATGAAGTTTTGATAGTGAAATTATTTCTTTTGTAGGTATTTAGTGACCTTCAGCCCTTTGATGGACACACAGGATGACCCTCAGGCTATTATCATCTGGGACATTCTGACTGGGCAGAAGAAGCGAGGATTCCACTGTGAAAACTCAGCTCACTGGCCTATTTTTAAGTAGGTTGAGAAACAGAATGAGAGAGAACTGGTCCCAGACTTCATCTGATAAAAAGGCAGTTCCTATTTAATATTCTTTTTCCTTTTTATTTGCTTAGATGGAGTCATGATGGTAAATTCTTTGCTCGAATGACTTCAGATACCCTCAGCATCTATGAAACACCTGTAAGTTCTTGCATTTCTTTGCACAATGCTTATTGCATTGTTGTGTCAGTCTTTCCCATGGTATCTGTTTTAAAGGACATATAGAATCATAGAATAGTTAGGATTGGAAAGGACCTTAAGATAATCTATTTCCAAACCCCCTGCCAATGGGGGTTTTATACTGTTAAATAATATACTCTAGAGCTGGGCTTAAAAGGGGAGAAATCCATTTGCTCTTATTTTCTTTCCTGGGTGAAAAACTTCAGCTGAGTCTGACAGTAAAATTCACACTTCTAGAGGGACTAGACAGATCAATATACTATTTATAACAGTCAATAAGATCAAGTTTATGTGTTGCCTCACAGCTCTCAGTAGCAGATGAGTGCCAGAAGTACACTATAAATTGCAGCCTAATCTGGTCTGGTTTACATTTTCATTATAATTCAGGCTGCTGCACTCATTAATTCTGTACAAGAAGTTCTACTTTAATTGTAATTGTGGAATACATATGTTCATAATAAAAAATAGTGATGGAGGATCTCTGAAAGCTGTACACAGTTTCCTAGTTTATGTGCCCTAATAAGAGCAGAAGGTGCATCTATAATTAAAAGAATGTTACTAACTTGAAAATTCACACCTTTCTCTTTTAGTCTATGGGCTTGTTGGACAAAAAAAGCTTGAAAATCACTGGGATAAGGTAAGTATTCCTTTGTAAAGATAACTGCTGTCTGTAGTTGGAATCTTTGTCTGGGGCTTTATACTGAGAGGAATCTAGAAATCTGGCCTCATACACTAAAGTGGTCAAATTGGACAAATGGGCAAAAAGGAGTGGAAAATGCTCCATTTATTCTTGTCCATAGTTGACAGCTTGTGTGCTTTGAAGTCGTCTTGGTGTGGTACAGGGTCTATCTGGGGCGTCCTGTTCCTTGTCCATGAAGCCAAAATGGAATGCAGTTTGTTAGGGGGTATCTCCCTAACAAGATTTGTATGCTGGCTTGAAACAGCATGCTGTATCCTACCTGTTGGTAAGGAGTGGGCTTGGTTTTGTGCGTGTCTGCATGATAGGGACTCCTTTGAGAGTTTTTGAGGTACCTCTCTGTAAAGCGGCAAGAAAATTGAGTGTACCCAGGTGCAAGAAGATTGTCTCCAGTGTAATTTAATAGCCTGTGTCTTAGATCTTCGGTGGTTACACTGGATGTAACCCCTACTCTAATTGAAATGTACTGGGTTTGATAACCTTGACTATAGAGCAAGTTTAAACAGCACTTTAAACATCTGTTTTCGTGTAATGTGTGTAAGGTTGTTAAATTGGCCTCAGTTGCTTGTCTGTATCTGTCTTTATTATTGAGATTTTGTCTGCTATTCAGATACAATGATGAAAATGGTTTCTGCTTGTAGTATCTCTAATTAAAAATTAACCCAGTATATTTTTGACTTTCTTCTTTTAGAGACTTCTCATGGTCTCCAGGTGGCAACATAATTGCTTTCTGGGTGCCTGAGGACAAAGACATCCCAGCAAGAGTGACTTTGATGCAGCTGCCTTCTAGACAAGAAATTCGTGTGCGAAATCTCTTCAATGTTGTAGATTGTAAACTACACTGGCAGAAGAACGGGGATTACCTGTGTGTGAAGGTAGACAGGACTCCCAAAGGCACACAGGTATGTGGATTCTGATTATATTAATGACATTTAGTTCTATCTCACGCTGACACCTACTGTCTTTCAATACTGACAGTGTAAAATCTATAATGTCAAAGCTACTTTTCATTTTTCTGTGTGAATCTGAGGCATGTGGAGAGCAAAATCTATGTCACGTTTGTGTGCAAGATTTGCTTTGACTTTAGTGGCTTTTTGGACTGGGTAAGAGCTGCAGGCTTTACCTCGTTCTACTCACTGTTAGGCAGATGTTGAATAACCCTCAGGTTGTGCTGCACAATGATCCATAATTTTATCTGAATTAAATTTCATAAGAGTCTGTAAAGAAACAGATGCTTCTGTACCATTACTTTTTATCAGGCAAGAAAAGATGGAATGTGTTTGGTAATGAGGCATACTGTATTTATCTGCTCTCATTCAAGAAACAAATCTTGTCTTTCATCCAGTGTCCTGACAGGCTTATTTTGTAGTTGCCCTTCTATGCCTAGCAATAAAATTACTTGCTCTACTGCTTCTGTGCTGGATAATGAGCTGATCTTGTTCTTTACAGGGAGTAGTGACCAACTTTGAAATATTCAGAATGAGAGAGAAACAGGTGCCAGTGGATGTGGTGGAAATGAAAGGTAATGCCAAGTGCCTTTTTACTCTTGATCTTTGTAGACACTTGTGTGTTTCTTAGAAATTCCTGCCAACACGTGACAGAATTGAGAACATAATTCTTTTGATAGTGTTAATATTGAGGGGCATCTCCCTCATGTAAAAATGAGAAAGCAAAACTTTTGTTGCAGTTCAGGCTTGTAACAGACTTAAGACAAACTGAAAATCTGTTAAAGGCTGATAATGTGAGTGAATTTTCTAGAAGATGGCAGACTTTGGAGCTATTGTTTGACTGAAACACTTCCCATAACTCTCTACCTTTGCCTTATCAACCTGAGTTTTAACAGACTTTGCCATATAGTCTTAACTGATGGGCTTCCTTTCTTCATCTTTTGGTTTTCTTTGGTTACTGCTTGACATCAAAGCTTTGTATTGTCTTTTGACAGAGTTTTGGGGTTGTTTTTTGTTACAGAAAGCATCATAGCCTTTGCTTGGGAACCAAATGGAAGCAAGTTTGCTGTGTTGCATGGAGAAACTCCACGAATTTCAGTTTCCTTTTACCATGTTAAAAACAATGGGAAAATAGAACTCATAAGTAAGTGACTTAAAACCAAGTGATAAATACAGATACTAGGGATTTTGCATAACAATAGGTACAGTAAAGTCAAAACTGTGGCTGTTTGTTGGATAGAATGGCAATAGGTGCTGTGCCTGACACTGTTTTCACTTTGGATCAGTCCAGTGTCTGGCAGTAAAAGGCTTACAAACCAGAATAATTTTGTGGCTTTGGGGAAATGATGTGAGGCAATAATAGCACAGAATTGGCTCACTTTAGATAAACTTTATTCCCAGGTTGAGTGTTGGTGTCTTCTGATCTCTCTTGCTACCTTTGTGCATCTTGGTGCTACTGGGTTTTGCCTTTAGAAGTGTAGAGCTGAGGGCTGTTGACTTGCTTGCAGAGTTCAGAAATGTCTTTGGAGGACTGGGTGGAATTGGCTACTTGTAGCTAAGTGATGGCATCATGTTGAGATCTTCTGAATTTGTCTTGTTTCTTTCCAGAAACGTTTGACAAACAGCAGGCAAACACGATATTCTGGAGTCCTCAAGGGCAGTTTGTAGTGTTGGCCGGCCTCAGAAGGTGAGTGTTGCACAGGTGACTGAACACCACATTCATTTGAAGGAGGGAAAAGACTGGAGTAATTCATTAAGGAATGTTTGGTATCTCCATGAACATTGCATTACTGTGTAATCCTGATACAGCTTTGCAAAAGCAAAGGAAAAGAAGAAATGCAATATCATGATGTAGTGTAGTCCTTTATCTTTTACATGCTATTTTTGCCACACCAAATGAAGAATGCTTTTTCAACAGGAAAGGGGGTATTTAGAAACACTTTTCAGCTGCTTAAGTTAAAAACTGCCTCAACTAGTCCAGTCTGCACCATGCATGTGGCTCTTAAAATTCATTTGTTGTTGTCACAGCCTTGTGGCTCCTCATGGGCAATACCGGTTAATGACAAAGCTGTTTTGTAAAAGAGTTATTAGGGAAGCTTCACATTAGAGCAAATGAAAATGATTTGTATTAAGAATTTGAGTAATACTTACCTTTACATGCTTTCAGACAAGCGCTGCTTGTAATCTTGTATGCTCGTCTACGCATACGATTGTTAAACTTTGACTGTAACTTGCCTGTAGTATGTTTTCACTGTCACTTAAAAAAGTAAGATGGGTTCAGGGTCACTGAACTTAGAAACAGAAGTGTCATTCTCGGGTTTTTGTTTTTAATCATCACATTGCTTTCTAGCCACAGCACTTGGTATGACCCCGTCTCTTGGTTGCTCTGAAAGTTCATCTATGTAGTGAGGAGTTGTAAAGTTGCAGCTTGTGAAATGCTTTTAAAAACCAGGCTACACCAGTATGAAAAACAATCTGCCTTGTTTTGTCTTTGCAGCATGAATGGTGCCTTAGCATTTGTTGATACATCTGACTGCACCATGATGAATATAGCTGAACACTATACAGCTTCAGATGTGGAATGGGATCCTACAGGCAGATATATTGTGACTTCTGTGTCTTGGTGGAGCCATAAGGTACTAATGCTTTCGTGTGAGGTCTATTTATTTTTCCTTTCTCTTCCAGAGTTCTTGGAAAGGGCTATAGGTTAGGAAAAGAAAATGGGCAACTCTCAGTCATCCTGTGACTTAAAACCTGTGCCATGGTTTTATACATTAACTTCTGAACATCAGTATTTAGGCTGCTAGCTTCACTAGTTGTCCAAAATAAGTTCTGGAAGGGCAGTTCGTGAGCCTAAATCAACTCAGAGGTTTGAAACTCTATTTCCTTGTGGTCCACACAGCAGCAGGATTTATTGCATGTGTATTACTTTTGCATGGTTCCAGCCACTGCACTGTAATTCTCTCCAGTACAAGTATAGACTCTGAGACTTAATGTGGTAGAAGGGCTGGCTTAGTTTCAAACTGGTGTGATCCTCCAGAAAGTAACTTCCTGCAAAGCTTCAATGGAACAAATATTTTGCTGAGGGATTTAACTTGTGCAAGGAAGGCACTTACAAAAAGAGCACCCTCTTTCTCTTCACTAGTGGTGCTTGTTTCACAAAAAAGACCCTTAAGACATGGAGTGAGGACTAGTGTGAAGTTACAGCTTACCTTGACTGAGATGGTACACTGCTTTTCCAGGTGGACAATGCATATTGGTTATGGACGTTCCAAGGCCGTCTGCTTCAGAAAAACAACAAAGACAGGTTCTGTCAGTTGCTGTGGAGACCACGACCAGCTACCTTGCTCAGTGAGGATCAGATAAAGGTATTGTCTTCCAGTCACTCTTTCTGCTGACATTGTTTTGGTGTATAAACATACTTGTTGTACTCTCTCTTTCTGAGGATGGGGTTTGAACTGTTACAGAGTTAAGCAACTGCCTTTTGTCCTGAATTTGTGAAGAACCATTGCCGTAGGGGACATCACTTCTGGGAATGATTGTAGATATTAACTGGTCTTTAAGATCAGAATAGAAATGGCTACCAGTAGTTCTTACAGTTAGGCTACAGTCAAAAGGTATAAAGAATAACAAAATTGAGCTTAGACTTAACTAATTGCTTGTGTACAGAAGTATTTATAAGGTAGTCAGAAGGAACAAAGAAAACGATAGTGAAGAGAAATTGCCTAGAAGGTGATGCTTTTAAAAAATGCATAGCCTGCTTAAGCCTACTGAAGGAGCTCTTAAAGAATATGATTGCTGGTCTGATATCCTGGTTGACATAAAATTCCCTGTTTTGCAGCAAATTAAGAAGGACCTGAAGAAATACTCAAAGATATTTGAGCAGAAGGATCGCCTGAGCCAGTCCAAAGCTTCAAAGGCAAGATACTTTTGGAATATAATAATGGAGATGAAACTCTTGTAACCTGTCCTTAGTTATTTTGTAATGGTGACATGGAAGTTAAATGTTTTCTATAACAAAAGGCAGGACAAGGGGTGGTGGGTTCAAACTTAAACAGGGTAAGTTCAGGTTGGATATAAGCAAGAAGTTCTTTACAGTGAGGGTGGTGAGGCACTGGAATGGGTTGCCCAAGGAAGTTGTGAATGCCCCATCCCTGGCAGTGTTCAAGGCCAGACTGCACAGAGCCCTGGGCGACATGGTCGGGTGTGAGGTGTCCCTGCCCATGGCAGGGGGTTTGGAACTAGTTGATCTTAAGGTCCTTTCCAACACCAACTATTCTATGGTTCTGTGAAGCATTTGAGTTCATTTAAATCCAGATCGTTGGAGTTAGTTCCGATAGGGACAGATGCTACTAAACTCAGGTTCATTACAATTTAAACAATAATGAATCTGGTGAGGCACTGGTGTTGCCTCATTAAGCAAAGGTGGTAAAATTTGGGGGTTCTTAGGGAGCTGCTGCATTAGGCAGTCTTTAAATTAAGAAAAGCTCTTTAAATAAGAAGCACTTCACCAAAAAAGCTTTTTGATTACATGAGAGAGAGCTCTTTTTCCCTTGAAGTCAGTGGAAAGTATGTTCACAAGAAAGCTTGACTTGCTAAAAAATGTCTTGCATGTGGATTTGATTTACTGGGGAGGCTTAATGACCTCTTCCTGCCTCTGTAGGAACTAGTGGAAAGGAGACGTACAATGATGGAAGAGTTCAGAAAGTACCGCAAGATGGCACAGAAATTGTACATGGAGCAGAGGAATGAGCGTTTAGAGCTTCGAGGAGGTGAGCCACACGTTGTACTTGTAATGACTTGCTGCTTCTTACCAAGTAATTGGGGATTCATCCACTTCTCTCCCTCTGTTTCTTGCCAGAGCTAATCCCTTGTGCTCTGAAGGTTATTTATACTTTTTATACATAGTCACAACAGGATTTTTTCCACTACACACAGCCCCAGGAGATGGCTCAAATGTTGTTGGCTGCCAGATTTAGTATCAGAAAGGCAAGCAAAGAGACTTTGGTGTTGCATTTAACCAGAAAATCCACAGAAGCCCTATGGTGGCAGACAGTAACACCTTGGTTGTCATTTAGTGAATTTAGCATGTACTTGTGATGATTTAAAGCACCAAAACTCTTATTTCACTGCTGATTTAAGGACTGTTTCTGCCGTGAGCATCAAATCTTCCAATTGCTGCCGCCTTTGGTGTGTTCAGTGTTAATGATTTCTCCATTGCAGGGGTAGACACAGATGAGCTGGACAGCAATGTCGATGACTGGGAGGAGGAGACTGTTGAATTTTTTATCAATGAAGAAATTATTACCCTTGCAGAACCAGAGTAATTAATTAAACTGTGGTAAGATGGCAAACCCCGTTTGTCAGCTATTGCTATAGATTCAATCATTCGCTTGAGAAAGTTAGGTCTGTTTGTTGCCTGAGTGAATGTATTGGTTTATGTTTTGTCTATAGAGAGGACAAAAGTGTCTTAAGAAGTAATTGCAGATTTGAGTTGTGCTGTGCAGAATTCTGTGTACATCTTGTCTTGCCAGAGTGATCCAACCACAACGGAGCCAGGGTCAACTTCTAGACACAGTGTATTGTAGACTCCGAGTTCTGTCAGTAGGGGGAATGAGTAGCATGAGAGAAGTTGTGCCTTTTGGAAGAATTGCATGTTAGTTCAAGACTGGACAGAGTTTAAGTACTGTCCTGAAGATGATACAGCAGGTTGACTGGGCCGATAAAACTTGTTTAAATATCCATATGAACTCTGCTATCATTTTCTAGAAATGGGGGGTAGAATTCAGGAAGTAGCAGATTCTTGTGTGCAACTGCATGTTGCTGAAATTTAGCCCAGTGCCTTTTCCCAGATCCTTCTTGTGAATTCATATTACGTATTTCTATGTTGAAAACAGAGGCTACTTTCAGCCCCTGTTATAGGAAGTGTCCTTTAAGGAGGTTGAGTTTTTTGGATTGAGGAGATAAAAGATATTTTGATAGTGAAGGCACACATGTAGGTCTTAAAACCTGGAATAGGTTCCTGCTTTGTCATGTTTAGGACTTCATTTAAGGAAGGGGAGACTGGAAGTAATGCCTTTTGCAGCTGCAAGTCATCCCACAGCTCTTTAATCTCCAGATATCTAAGGAATTCAAGTAAAATATAAGCAGTTTACCTCTTGGATTTATGGAAAAATATATAGCCTTGATACCTGTGAATATATTTGGATCTGGCTTAACTGTGTCCCAAACATGGGAGATCCTTTTATGGAAGCGGGGGTGAAGCTGCTTAGTGTGAGGATTTAAACAAACATCAGTTTAAGAGTAGGTGAAACATGTTTATGTAGCCTTTCACCAGGTAGCATCTGTGGTGAGGTCGAGCTGTTCGTATAGAAGCACAGTAGCTAACTCACCTCTCTTTTCCTTTTCTGCAGCACCACCAGATCTTGTGCTGAAAAGAAGTTTGTTCATTTTCAGAAAGCCTGCATCAACTTTGGAATTTGTAATCCATATTCTTGCACTCTGGAAGGGTGGATGCACCAGATTTTCTCCATTCTGACACATTGTAGTGCCTTTAAGTCTTGCTGCCTGCTGCAGTGAGACACTGGGAAGGCGCTGCTTTAAATTCTATTATTTTTTTAGGGGTTTTGTTTTTGGTTTTTTCTTTTTTAAATCCACTACTACCAGTATTTACTTCCAGACTCCCTGTGCAGTACTTGCCAACTGGTAGGTTTTGGCTATTGCCAGCGAGGTGAGATTCACCGGTGCACCTCTTAGACACACGATGTTTCTGTTTCAGGACTCTTTCTATGTCCCAAGTGCATGGACAAGTGTTCATTTTGTTTGGGGAAAAGTCAACAGAACCATTTTTCGTATGATGTGTTTTAGTGTGCTGAAGCAGCACTACAGTGGGCTATATCCTCCTCCTTTCAGATTGTGAAAGGATGTCTCCCTCAAAGAGCTGAATATGGAAATAAAAGCAGACCTATACTAAAACCAGGCTGGCTACGTGTTGTTTGTAGGGAATCTTTCCCTGAGTGATGGAAGTCAAACGTGCCTGCAAGTAATAAGAGTGGGGTTTATCTTATCTATATGGTTCCTTTGGATTTTTCTTAATCTCAGTTCCTTACTGCTCTTCTGGTGAGGTTTGTTTCTTACAGTGATGGTACAGCTCATTAAACTGATAGGTTGGCCTGTTCATTAGAGTGGAGCAACAAGGAAATGAGTGGATTTCTTAAACCATTTGCAAACTGGTCCTAGCCTCAGGAATGACTGGATTAGTCTATGTCTTACTAATGAACAGTGCAAAATACCTGAGAAGTGCTCTGTATGCACATGCCTTATTCTTCCTGTTACATTACCTAGTTTCATTTCTGAAGCCCTCTGTGCTCAGAGGGGGAAAAGTGTACTTATAACAACTTCTCTGTATTTGTATTTATGAGTAGAAATTCCTTCCTGGATATTGTCAGAGCAGTGAGAGGTTGGTGTGCTGCTTGCCCTTTGAGGGGCAGAGGAGAGGGAGGCTGTTCCTGCCTCTTCTCCTGGGCTGGCCAGTGGCATTGCCAGTGTGGGCACTCTGGAGTGGCTGGTTTAAACCCTGAGCTCACTGACATAGCGGTGTCTGACAGATCTGAAGCAGAAAGCACCCTTTGGGTAAAGGTCCCCCCACTCAACTGGAGGCAGCCAAGGACAGTAATGTGTTTAGTACTCACTCTTCTTTGTCATTAGGTGAACGTGCTGTGACAGCAAATGCATGGACCCCTCAATTAACTCCCATGTTCTCTTCACTGGGAAGACTCTTCAAAATGATTGTTCCATAATGATGGTATTGGCTTAATTTTGGTAGTTTGCTCTTAAACCAGGGAGTGGTTTTGTTTCCAGAAGTCTGTATTAGCTTCCATTTTCATTTGTTGAAGTTTGTTCATTCATAACCTGTATATACAGATAATATAGATGATTAAAGCTTTTTCTACAACATTTACTAAGCTCATATCTCAAATGGACTAGAGAAAAATACTTCCTTCCCTGTAAAACAGTGCAGAAGAACTTTGGGCACTTCAAAGTTGTCCAATAAGGGCTTGATCTTTTAGAGCAGGAGTCATTTTAATTATCTTTTAGCTGTAAAGAGCTGACTTCTCACCATTTTCTAAGTTGCAAATTGAGTTAAAAGTTGGTTTTTTCTCCTGTCTCCATGCAATTAAATTTTTATGGGCTGCTGTGGTTTATTCCTGGCCATTTTCAAAGTAAAGCAATGTAATACCAGTGCTAAGTGAATTGAGTTCCTTCTCTGAAGCTGCTGTAGGACCTTTGGAAGCTGACAAGTGTCCTGAGCAGGGGTAATGGTCTTTTCTCATCTGTAACACTGGCATTTCTGACACTGCTCCCTTCAATTACTGTGTGTTTTCTGTAGTGTTCCTCACTTCAAATGCTTTTTTGGAAATTGTGCTACTGAAATTGCTTTATGGGTATGTGTATGGTAAAACAGTCCATTTGGTATATCTCAGAATAACACTAGGACTTGTAGTGTGGAGGAAGGGCCTTACTGGATTGAATCCATGTTGCTGTGCGTAGCTTCAAGTACTCAGTGCCTCTGGTTTTCAGCCTGTGGACCCTACAAGGGCTTTGAAGGATGGTTAAAGCAGATGTGGGTTTGTAGGTACTGCATAAAGAGATGTGTAAGTGGGGAAAAGGCTTCCAGCAGCAGTTGTACTTCCACTGAATGCCTTTAAGGGTCAAGAATTTGGGCAAGGGGAAGGAGGGAAACAAGCATTAAGTAGGATAGGATGTCACTGTGTGTGTTAAAGTATTGTCTGAAGTATTTTTAATGATTGTTCTTAAATAGCAAGATTAACTGGAACAATTCGTATAATCCTGGGCTAGTCTTTACTTTCACAGTCTTTATTTGAATTTGTAATAAACATTCTCATGACCTTTTATAACCACCTGCAGTCCTTCATGCAAACCCCACAGAGCAAGTTCTGTTCACTTGCTATACGAAGTTTTAACTCCTTAAATTCTAATGTTTTTTAATAAAGCCTTACTGTAACTTTTATGAGCTTTGACTTGTTTACTGTCAATAAATAATGAAGATAAAAAGTGATCTTGTTGTGTTTTGTTTTAATAGGTTGTAAAGAGTGGACTGACAGTAAAAATGATTGACTTCCTGAACGTAGGAGACATGAAATGCTGCTCTCTGTGAGGTGACAATACAGTGGAAGCTTACACTTGGCTCAGGGGGGGAACAAACTGTTTCCTGTCTATCTCAGTGGTGGTTGTCACTTCTTGTGCAGGACTGGAAGGGTGAGGATGCTTCTTGCTCAGCTTTTGGTGGAGCTGTGAGCCCCTGTACCTGGTCGTGTTGTGTGTTTGATCCTAAGGGAAGGAGGGATGAGCACCGGCCACAGAGATGATCTGAGTGTTGGAGCACCTCTGCTCTGGAGACAGTCTGAGAGTGCTGGGCTTGTTCAGCCCGGAGAAAACAAGGTTCCAGGGAGACCTTATACCAGTCTTCCAATACCTAAAGGGGCTGACAAAAAATCTGGAGAGGGCCTTTTAACAAGGGCACAAGTGACAGGACAATTAGGAATGGTTTTAAATTGAAAAAGAGTAGATTTAGATGGGAGAGAAGGAAGAAATTCTTTACTATGAGGGGGCTGAGGTGCTGGCACAGGGTGACCAGAGAAGCTGTGGCTGCCCCATCCCTGGCAGTGTTCCAGGCCAGGTTGGACACAGGGGCTTGGAGCAACCTGCTCTAGTGGAAGGTGTCCTTGCCCATAGCAGGGGGTTGGAACCAGATGAGCTTTAAGGTCTCTTCCAGCCCAAACCAGTGTGATTCTATCAACCTGGTGTCCTAGAGGGCAGAAAGCAAAGGCTGTGACCTGCTCACCAGGGGTGTGTGAAGGTGGATTTGTGCATAAGTATTTGGGCTTGCAGGTGGGTCATTTTGCTTACCCTGACCCCTTCCACCATGCAGTGATAGCACACTGCTTCCTGCAGCCTGGAGCAGGAGGGAGCTGCTGCAGCCCCTTCCTGCCCTGGGGCTCAGCATTTCGCTGCAGCCTCTCCTGCTCCTTGTCTCTGCAGCCATGTCCCACCGGGAGATGCCTTTTCCTTCCCTGGGATGATCCCCGCTGCTTCTGAACCTCTCTGATTCCTGCCTGTGCAGCCTCCTGGAGGGCTGCAACTCAGTATGTGCTGCCTTGGGCAAACCACCCAGCCCTGAGCTGGTCCCATATCACAGCTTGGCCCTGATGGAGCAGCAGCTCATGGTGAGTCCACTTGCAGCTGGGTTGCACCCAGCCCTGGCATCCTTCCTATTGTGTTTCTTCTGGTGCTTCTGGGCTCTGTGTCCCAGTCAGAGGCAGAAAAAAAGCCCAGATTCACTATCTCTGTGCAAAACTGCATGATTTTAAAGAAGAAGTTGGGTATAAGTATCCTGCAGGGGAGAATCCTGTATAGTAGGAGAGATGAGACTGGGTAACCCTGCAGCTGGGGGTGGTTAGTTCTCCTAGGACAGTGATTTTTCAGTGCACTCATCTCTTTGGGATCTGAATATCACATTCATAAACAGCTGGGATTATAGTCCTGTCTGAGTCCTCACCATTGCTGCAGGACCTCAGCATCTCCCTGTTGATCAGAGGAGTGCTTTGAAAATGTAATCCTTTCCCAAGTTTCAATCTTTCAAGCCTGTGGCTCTCCACTAAACTCATAATGTGCTGAAGCATGACTGGGGCAGATGCAGAAACCTCTGCTCAAAGTGGAATTGCTTAAAATAAAGTCAATAGTATGTAGAATACTTTGCATTCCTCTCTAATGCAAGGAAAAGCCTTAGTACTTGATGTGACCTGTCTCCACATGCTGCTTATTTGGGTTTGTTTTCTTATCCTCAGTGGCTGGGGCTACCCAATACAGTGACTGTTCTGGAGGGTAAGGCTGTCCAAGGGAGACCTGCTCCTCCTGCAGGATTTGGGATTATGCTGTGCAAGATAATATCTTTCAATGCTTCTAAGAGATGAGTTTAGCCCATGGGAATGAGATGCTCATAAGTGTCACTCAGCCATGTTTAGGGAGATGATAAAGCAAAGCTAATTGTTACATTCCGTGTCTATTAAAAGCTACCCAAAGCCAAGGAGCTCACCATGTACTCAAAGATGTTCACAGTGAAGAAATGTTCCTTCACTGTTGATGGAACTGTTGAAAAAGCTCTTGCTGCAGTGCTTGGGACTGGGAGCTGTTTGTAAAACCCTCGTTACATTGGAATGTAGCTTGTTATTGTGAAAATAAATCTGGTTCCTATAGAAACCAGTTGCTTGTGCCTGGTGGGGCTGTAGAACAAGTCTCTTTCAATAATTGCACACCCTCCTGATGGGGCATCATTTCTGTGCATTATGCAGTGTTCCATCAGCATCAGCTTTCTTGTCAGGAGCTGCTAAAGGGATGCTGCTGTATTTTGTGAAGGGCAAAACAGCCATGGAAAGGTGAAAATAGAAATTTTTCCCATCTCTGTTATTAGCTGAGACCCCAAGGACAGCTTTTAGGTGGGATTTTGAATAGACCCTTCACCAGGCACACAGGTTTGAGATTGTGCAGCTCACCCACAGCTGCAAAGTGAGTTGGGGCCAGAGCAGGACCCCAGCTTCAGGGGCACAATCAACCCCACAGCTGATCCCTGACGCTGCATTTTCTCTATTGCTTCACCTATAGGCTAAACAGACTGGACAGAAATACATCTGCTCTTGTATATTGTTAATACTGCCAAATAGAGCCAGTTTGTTCTAATTCTTCATGTCAAATTGTCCATGTTTCAAAGCAGAGCACTGTGTTTTTCTGACTGATTGAGTTGTGGTACAAGGCACTGGCACTTAATTGCTGCTTTATAATCACTCTGGTTCAGAGATGAATTCCAGTTTCCAAGGAACCCTGCAGGACCTGCACAGATCAGGGCCAACTTGCTCTGATCTGGTTGAACAGGCTTATAATAGTGCTACCTGGGCTTAAAC